AATGCCTTTCTTTGATCTCTTCTTTATGTTCTGCCGTTTCTTACATCACATCCTCTCAGTTTTTTTGCAATACATGAATAATATCTGCCACAGGACGGTAGCAATGAAACAGTATTTATAATAGGAGATTTCCCATAGTTCATAGTTAATGGCTACAAGTCTATATGTTGCTGGGTGTATAGTGTTCTTTAAATCTGTGGCAAACATTCCAAGGACGACTTTCAATCAGTAGTCGACCAGCAGAACCCCTGGAGTTTCAAATTAAGTTGAATAGCTCTTGAGAGACACTTGGATCGTAATACTGGATCGACCTTGACAGATGAGGATTATAGTTATTTCAGCCCATCTGTGGCATCAACGGAAGGTTTTACTATCCCGCACACAAGTATACTGAAAAGAACAAATTATGTGTCTGTGAGAGAAGGGTAGAAATACAACCATGTTTACTGTCCACAGCTAGAAATAAAAGGCAATGGCCGGGCTTGGTCCACTCTTTGGCAGTGGTGAACCCATTAAGGGAACGGAGCTCTGGTTGTGTTAATTCTGTTCCTTAAAAGTAAAAGAACTGGCTGTTATGGTTGATTCTAGATTCAAGGGTGGTAAGACCAAAGATACTTTATGGACGTCCAGTATATGTACAACACTTTGTGTTTGAGACTTGATAATGGCAAAAGAAAAGACATAAGATTGTGAGTGAGCTCGCCTCACTGACATGTACAGCACTAAAAGAAGTTAAAGTTCTTCAATCGAGACTGATTAGACAGCCCACTGAACAATCAAAATACAGAAACTTCCAGGATTATGATGTCACAAGGAGACAGACGGAAATTGGTATTCCAATCTGACTATATCAAGCCTTTGAACTTGGGCTAAATAATAAAGTTTGATACAAGTACAGTCTAGGGTTCTGGTGGTATCTTTATTCACTGAATCCACAAATTAGACTGCTTCTTTTATATGGATGTACAAGCTCAATTAAACACATAGAAAGGCGAAAGCAAACCATTACATTATGTTTTAGTCAGCTTTAAACTAGCAGTTCCTGGTTTTTGGCACTAAAAGCATTTTATGTTAGGTTGAAAAGCAAGGGACTAAAGAGAGACACAGGGCCGAGGTGTTGATATT